CAAACCTCTCCATTCTTAGGGAAATTAGCCCTGAGTGCTCACTGGAAGGACAGATCCTGAAGCTGAGGCTCCAATACTTTGGCCACCTCATGAGAAGAGAAGACTCCCTGGAAAAGACCCTGATGTTGGGAAAGATGGAGGGCACAAGGAGAAGGGGACGACAGAGGACGAGATGGTTGGACAGTGTTCTCGAAGCTACAAACATGAGTTTGACCAAACTGGGGGAGGCAGTGGAAGACAGGAGTGCCTGGCATGCTCTGGTCCAGGGGGTCACGAAGAGTCGGACACAACTAAACGACTAAACAACAACAGATCAGGTTTCAGTACCTGAAGTCAGGGTGGCGAAAGTAGGCTTAGCTCCCAATCCACGTGAACTCACCATATATTCTCCCACGAGTTGACGGGGCCTTTTTCAGCATGGATGGCCCCCTAGCTGTGGAACTCTCTCCCTAGGGAGATTTGCATGGCCCCTACTTTGCTGGTCCCTGAAAACCCAGCATGGGGGAACCTATGGCCCTTCCGGTGTCATTGGACTCCAACTCCCATCAGCCCTTGCCAGCACAGCCAATGGTCATGGATTATGGGATTGGTAGTCCTGCATCCTCTTGAAAGGCTAAAGCTTCCTCATCTCCTGAAAATCTCCCCCCCCCCAAAGCTGCTGTTCAAAACATGGCCCTAAATATTGCATTAACGGCTGCTTTTTAATGCTGTAAAGTTTAATTTATTTTTAAACTGCTCTTAGTTCTGGATTGCAGCTTTATTGATTTTGGATGATCGATGGGATGTTGTTCTGATGTCGGCCACCTTGGGAGATTTGCCCTGGGATGTGACTTATAAAAATCCAGGAGAAAAGAAGTCCAGAGGCTGAATGCTTAGGATGCAGCAACTTTGATCAAGTTAAGCAGAACTCAGCCTGGTTAGTGTCAGGATGGGAGACCTCTGGGGAACTCTGTGTATCAGAAAGGTCACCTCCTTCCCTATAGACACTCTTGGGTGAAAAGAGTCACAAGTGTCCCAGGAAAACTGGGACACCCCATTTTTTTCCCCACGAGAGAATGGCAGACATTTTGGGTGCCATGATCTCGCGAGATTTCGCACCACATTTTTCCTTGCGAGGGGGGAGATAGATAGATAGATAGATAATTTATTACGGTGGGAGACCAGGATGGCTTCTCTAAATCAGAGACGTCCCTGGAAAACAGGGACACTTGAAGGCTCCATCGTTCCTCTTTTACATTTGGCCCCACTCTGATTTGGTCCTGGCCCTGCCCAGCCTGGGTGTGTGGCCCCCGACATGTTAGCCATGGGGTCCTCAAGCTGAAAAAGTCTCCCTGTCCCTAGTGTAGTGGTTACAGCATCAGATTAGGAGTTTGGAGGTCAGGCTTCAAGCCCATATTCTGTTCAGAGGGTCAACTTGGGCCAGTCACTATCTCACAGCTGAACCTACCTCACAACATGGTTGTGAGGATAGTGTGTGTGTGTGTGTGTGTGTGAGAGAGAGAGAGAGAGCCACATATGCTTCCACTCCTTGGGGCAAGGTTGGGCTTAAAATCTAAGCAGCAAATACGGAAACAAACTAGATAGCGCATGGTGAGGAAGACGAGGCATCCTCCTGCCCCAATTCCAATTCGCTTGCTCCCTAGCCCACTAGAGCCAGGCTGGGCCCAGCTTAGCCGTAGCCGCTTAGCCTTGGAAGCCCCCCTCCCACCTCACTCCCTGCCAATGCGTTCAGGGTAATTGGCTAGAATTGATTACCCTTCACCAGCCTCTAATAGCTTTATAGCTCCTTCAATTAGCCACTAATTGGCCAACGCTCATTAACTCGCCTTTGTTTAACTAACCAGGGAGAGGCCCTGCCTAATTGCCTGGCAGCTTGGTGGCGAGCGAGGAGGGGAAGGGAAGGGAAGGGAGCCTGGGTGGCGGGCATGGAAAGATGCCCACTGCTAGCTAGCAAGCCGCTCGCTTGCCAGTTCGAAAGGTGCCGCAAGCAGGGAGCCAGCAATTCCCCCAACTCAGCCTGCGTTGGCAGAAAATGGCGCCGTGGGCAGAAATGATCAGCGGCATGGCTGAAACATCGTCCTTTATTAAGGCCAGCTTTGGGCCCATTCTAATAACGGATGGTCCGCGTGCCTTGTTGTCGGAGAAAACCCCTGGGTAAAGCACGTTGGCATGAGGGATGGGCTCTCACTGCAGGGCTGTCCCCAGAATTAATAGAGCTGCCTCTGCTCTTCCATACCCTCCAACATTTCTCCAACAAAAATAGGGATATCTTAAGGAAAAAGTAGTGATGTATGGAAGTGGGAGCTGGACCATAAAGAAGGCTGATCGCCGAAGAATTGATGCTTTTGAATTATGGTGCTGGAGAAGACTCTTGAGAGTCCCATGGACTGCAAGAAGATCAAACCTCTCCATTCTGAAGGAAATCAGCCCTGAGTGCTCACTGGAAGGATAGATCGTGAACCTGAGGCTCCAGTACTTTGGCCACCTCATGAGAAGAGAAGACTCCCTGGAGAAGACACTGATGCTGGGAAAGATGGAGGGCACAAGGAGAAGGGGACGACAGAGGACGAGATGGTTGGATAGTGTTTTCGATGTTACCAGCATGAGTTTGACCAAACTGCGGGAGGTAGTGGAGGACAGAGGTGCCTGGCGTGCTCTGGTCCATGGGGTCACGAAGAGTCGGACACGACTAAACAACAACAACAAGGAAAAATGGGACGCGGGTGGCGCTGTTGGTTAAACCACAGAGCCTAGGACGTGCCGATCAGAAGGTCGGCGGTTCGAATCCCCGCGGCGGGGTGAGCTTCCGTTGCTCGGTCCCTGCTCCTGCCAACCTAGCAAATGCCGTTTACCTTCCCGCTGGAGCGGTACCTATTTATCTACTTGCACTTTGATGTGCTTTCGAACTGCTAGGTGGGCAGGAGCAGGGACTGAACAATGGGAGCTCACCCTGTCGTGGGGATTTGAAACTGCCGACCTTCTGATCAGCAAGTCCTAGGCTCTGTGGTTTAACCCACAGCGCCACCCGTATCGTTATGTATGTATGTATAAATAAATTTATTATTACTATTATTATTGCTATTATTATTGTTACTATTACTATTATATACCAGGCCACCCTACTTGCAAACTGCCCTGTGGAAAGCATCCTGATGATATTGATATTTATCCTGATGATATACAATATTGTTTGTACCTTGATACTGCATATTGTGGTGTGTGTGGTGTGTGTGTGTGTGTGTGTGTGTGTGTTTGTTTAAATGTACTGTAGTTCAATCTCACTTGTGTAAGCCAACTTGGAAGGGTTTGTATCCTGAGGGGCAGGATATGAATAACTGCAATAAATAAATAAATGCTCTCGTGATAAAACCATTGAAAATACAAGCTCAACCCAGCTCTGGGAGGTGGGGGAAGAAACAGCGAACCGCTGGGGAGACAGAGGGTAGCAACAACAACCACACAGCCTCTGCTTCTCTTCTACTCCAAAGTCCTGCGTAAAGATCACCTGGGTATTTGCTAAAAGGTAAAGGTAAAGGTACCCCTGCCCGTACGGGCCCAGTCTTGACAGACTCTGGGGTTGTGCGCCCATCTCACTCAAGAGGCCGGGGGCCAGCGCTGTCCGGAGACACTTCCGGGTCACGTGGCCAGCGTGACATCACTACTCTGGTGAGCCAGAGCCGCACACGGAAACGCCGTTTACCTTCCCGCTAGTAAGCGGTCCCTATTTATCTACTTGCACCCAGGAGTGCTTTCGAACTGCTAGGTTGGCAGGCGCTGGGACCGAACAACGGGAGCGCACCCCGCTGCGGGGATTCGAACCGCCGACCTTTCGATCGGCAAAGCCCTAGGCGCTGAGGCTTTTACCCACAGCGCCACCCGCGTCCCATGGGTATTTGCTGCTGCTCACCAAAAAGGCAAAGGGATCAGGGAAGAGAGGGTCCTCTCTGAAGAGGGTGCTGCGAAAAATAGAAGCCTTGTGCTAGGACCTTTCTGTTAAACGCTCCTTGCGGCTTCAGAAAACAAGTGTCTGTGATCCCTTGAGCCAATGGAAGGGTTTGAAACTGGGTTAATTCGGGAGAGGGGAAACTGTGGTCCTCCACATACTTGTTGGACTACGACTCCCATCATTTGTGAATGTTGGCCATGCTGGCTGATGGGAGTTGGAGTCCATTCGGAGGGTCATGGGTTCCCCAGCCCTAGTTCTAGAGACAGAATACAGTGGTACCTTGGGTTAAGTACTTAATTCCTTCCGGAGGTCCGTTCTTAACCTGAAACTATTCTTAATCTGAGGTACCACTTTAGCTAATGTGGCCTTCCTCTGCCGCTGCGCGATTTCTGTTCTCATCCTGAAGCAAAGTTCTTAACCCGAGGTAATATTTCTGGGTTAGCGGAGTCTGTAACCTGAAGCATCTGTAACCTGAAGCGTATGTAACCCGAGGTACCACTGCACAGACTCTGCTAACACAGAAATAGTGCTTCAGGTTAAGAACTTTCTTCAGGATGAGAACAGAAATTGTGCTCCGGTGGCACAGCGGCAGCAGGAGGCCCCATTAGCTAAAGTGGTGCTTCAGGTTAAGAACAGTTGCACGTTAAGAACGGACCTCCGGAACGAATTAAGTACTTAACCAGAGGTACCACTGCATGCTGTTTTCGCATATCTGATCTGTTCTGTACTCCAGGAAGCTTCAGGAAACTCCCATCAACCCTTGTTCGAATAGTCCGGCCCCCCCATTCCCAATTCTTCCCTGCGTAGCTGAGAATGGGATGCAGGAACCCTGGTTTTTGAAGAGGTCCTGGGGTTCAAGTCCCAGCGTTTCCAGGTAAAACTGGGAATAGCCCCCCCTTGCACAAAATGCTAGAGAGACTTGGCCAGTAGGGGCACTGCTGAGCCAAATGGACTAATGGTTTGATTCCATATAAGGCAGTTCTCTATGATCGTGGCGCCTTCCCTTCCCTTCTCTCCTACCCTCCCCCCCCCCCACAAAGATCCACGTTCTTACCGACAAGTGTTGGAATAGCCACGCACGCATAATGTTTGTGGCCACTTTGGGGAAGATCCCTCTTTTCTTGTTCCGTTTTTTGTCTCGGTCTAAGTCGTCGTCATCTCCCGTGCTGGGGGAGGCCACGCTGTTGTCTAGACAGTCCCCTGCGAGGAAAAAGGAGCAGAAATGGAGAGAGAAAACCCTTTGAGAAAGATGGTCGGAGAAAGAGGCCCGCCATGTTTGTACCTGGTGCGGGACTAAATCTGCTGTGGTTCGGTTAGAAAGAGGTTTTGGGGTCATACCATATGTGGCCACTAGAGGGAGACATGGTATCAAGCGTCGAATGTTAGAGGCCCCCTAGAGGCTGGTGGTGGAATCTCACCCTTGGGAGGACTGTTGTAAACTGAAATCTGTGATGAAATCAGGGTCTTTAAGAATAGAGAGCCTCTAGATAGTTTTCCCTTCTCCCCCTACTCACTTTGACCCGCTCACGCGCATAGCTGGCTGAACATTACAGACCCAGCTGCTGCATCACAGCTGTAAGAGCAGGAAGGAGGTTATGCATATGAATTGCTTTCATGGATCCATATGGTTTAGAATACTGCTACACACAGGAACCAGACAGACACGACCGGGCATTCATGAACAGAATATAAAGGTAATATATGTCCTATATTTGTCCCTGCATCTGGCATGGAGGTTCTTTTTAAATATCTTGGCGTACAGTCCTTGATTTCTAAACCAGCAGCTAAAAGCAAATTGTGCCGTCTGAACTAGCCCTGTGGGGACTGAGTGTGTTATTTAGGGGCATGAACAGCCATCGTAAATTGATCATTTATCCTCTGTGAATTTGTCTAATCCCCTTTTGAAACTATTCACGTTGGTGGCCACCCCGGCTCTTGTGGGAGTGAGTTCCATAGTCTAACTGTGCAAAGGACTACTCCCTTTTGTTTCCTGTGTAGCAGGTGCTCCTCAGATCTGGCCACCATACATGACCGGCTAAGCTGTCCATTAGGCAGGCATTAGCAGTCATGGTGGAGGGACACGGGTGGCGCTGTGGGTTAAACCACAGAGCCTAGGACTTGCCAATCCGAAGGTCAGCAGTTCGAATCCCCGCGACGGGGTGAGCTCCCGTTGCTCGGTCCCTGCTCCTGCCAACCTAGCAGTTCAAAAGCACGTCAAAGTACAAGTAGATAAATAGGTATCGCTCCGGCGGGAAGGTAAGCGGCGTTTCCATGCGCTGCTCTGGTTCGCCAGAAGCGGCTTAGTCATGCTGGCCACATGACCCGGAAGCTGCATGCCAGCTCCCTCGGCCAATAAAGCGAGATGAGCGTCGCAACCCCAGAGTCGGTCACGACTGGACCTAAGGGTCAGGGGTCCCTTTACCCTTTACCTAGCAGTCATGGTAGAGAACGTGTCTTGCATGCAAAAAGTGGCTGGTTCAAGCTGTAGCCTCTCTAGATGTCAGCACTGGTCTGGTGAGCCCTCATCAGTCAGAGCAAACAGCAGCGAGTTAAGAGGGATAAAGCAGACAGACGATCCGTCAATTTAAGATGGGCTACCTCTGTCCTTGAGGCAGAGCCGGCTGTCACAGGGCGATCAGTCAGGGCCTCTAACACGTCAACTGGATCAACACAAAAGGAGAGAGAAAAGCCGTACACGATCAAGGGTCTAGAAGCCTAGCCTTATGAGGAATGGTTGAAGAAGCTGGGTATGTTTAGCCTCAAAAAGAGGAGGAGATACAATGGCCATCTTCAATAGCTAAAGGATATCACATGGATGTATGGAAGTGAGAGCTGGACCATGAAGAAGGCTGACTGCCGAAGAATGGATGCTTTTGAATTATGGTGCTGGAGGAGACTCTTGAGAGGCCCATGGACTGCAAGAAGATCAAACCTCTCCATTCTGAAGGAAATCAGCCCTGAGCGCTCACTGGAAGGACAGATCCTGAAGCTGAGGCTCAAATACTTTGGCCACCTCGTGAGAAGAGAAGACTCCCTGGAGAAGACCCTGATGTTGGGAAAGATGGAGGGCACAAGGAGAAGGGGACGACAGAAGACGAGATGGTGGGACAGTGTTCTCGAAGCTACAGTCATGAGTTTGACCAAACTGCGGGAGGCAGTGGGAGACAGGAGTGCCTGGTGTGCTCTGGTCCAGGGGGTCACGAAGAGTCGGACACGACTAAACAACAAATCACATGGAAGATTCCAACTAAAGACCAGGAAGTACTTTCTGACAGTAGGAGCTGTTGGACAGTGCGGCAGACTCTCTTGGGAGGCTGTGGACCCCTTGGATGTTTTTAAGCAGAGGTTGGATGGCCATCTGTCATGGATGCTTTAGCCAAGATTCCTGCATTGCACGGGGGCTGGACTGAATGACCCCCAGGGTCCCTTCCAACTCTACAACTCTATACTTGGCCACAGACATCTCATCCGCTCACAAGTAGACAAGATAGGGAAGGGAACCTAAGGCTCCTCCAGACATGGTTGGACTCCCAACCGCTCTAGCCAGCATGGCTAGTGGTTAGCGATATTGGGAGCCTGTGGTTCAGCAATACCTGGGAGACCAAAGATTAGCCATCAGATGCCACAGGGAGGCATCAGGTGCTCAGATAATGACCCACTCCAGATATCAGATAATTAACCAGCCTCAGAGGTGGTGAAGGGATGCGGGTGGCACTGTGGGTTAAACCACAGAGCCTAGGGCTTGCTGATCAGAAGGTCAGTGGTTCGAATCCCCGTGACGGGTTGAGCTCCCATTGCTCAGTCCCTGTTCCTGCCAACCTAGCAGTTCGAAAGCATGTCAAAGTGCAAGTAGATAAATAGGTACCACTCTGGCGGGAAGGTAAATGGCATTTCCGTGCGCTGCTCTGGTTCGCCAGAAGCAGCTTAGTCATGCTGGCCACATGACACGGAAGCTGTACGCCGGCTCCCTCGGCCAATAAAGCGAGATGAGCGCTGCAACCCCAGAGTTGGTCACGACTGGACCTAATGGTCAGGGGTCCCTTTACCTTTACAGAGGTGGTGAACCTGTGGCACTTTGCAGATGCTGTTGTATCTCTCATCACCCCTGACCATTAGCCATGCTGGCTGGTGCCGCTGGGAAACGGAGTCCAGCAACGCCACTCTTGCAGTGCTGGGATGGGATATTTGAGTTGGTTACTGTGGTGGTTGGATTCCCCACGCCTGATTGTTTTGTTTTATTCTATACTTTTTATTCTGTAACCCTGCTCTGGGATTTATCTTAGTGGAAAGAAAATTACGATAAATCGCCCTAAATCTACAGCAAACATCTTGGGGGAGGCACCTTAATTTGGGGCTGGGTGTGTGTGTGCCTTGTGTATTTCTTTCTTATAAACTGTGTGGGTTTCTCAGTACATCTGTTTGTTTGTTTGTTTGTTTCTTTAATTCATAGAATTCATATCCCGTTTGATTGAAAAGCCCCAAAACTCTCAAAGCAGTTTAAAAGAAGAATTAATCAATGAAATTACCAATAAAAAAACCCAACATTTTAAAGCCTTTAAACAACAATAAGCTAAAAACCAGATTAAAACACATGCCAACGTCCTACATATTTGCTTTATAATCTATGCTGTAATGTATGTTATAACTTATGCTTATGTTTTTAAATAGGCTTGGAGACCTTTCTGTATAACATATACAGTGGTACCTCGGGTTAAGAACTTAATTTGTTCTGGAGGTCCGTTCTTAACCTGAAACTGTTCTTAACTTGAGGTACCACTTTAGCTAATGGGGCCTCCCACTGCCACCGCCGTGTGATTTCTGTTCTCATCCTGAAGCAAATTTCTTAACCCGAGGTACTATTTTTGGGTTACCGGAGTCCGTAACCTGAAGCGTCTGTAACCTGAAGCGTCTGTAACCCGAGGTACCACTGTACAGTCATACCTCATGCTACGTTTGCTTCATGTTACCTTATTTCAGGATACGTCCCGTAGCGACCTGGAAGTACCGGAAAGGGTTACTTCCGGGTTTCGCCACTCGCGCATGCGCAAACGCGCAAAATGACACCACGCGCATGCGCAGAAGCGACAAATCACAACCCACACATGCGAAGACACTCCGCTGCGGGTTGCGCTCTTTTTATGTTGCGAACAGGCCTCCAGAACGGATCCCGTTCGCAACCAGAGGTACCACTGTAATAAGTTTTAATATCATGAGGAAGCAGAGGACTCCCACCCATTTTAAGTCTCACCTCACTGAGTGGGCTTAGGCAAGGCATTCTCAGTCTCTCTCTCTCTCAGGGATGGCGGATTACTAAGGAAGAACATGCTGTGCTGAGTTTATTTGAAATACGTCCCATAATTCAGTGGCAGACTTTGGGCTCTGATATTTCAGTGGCGCTAAAATTCGGTGCCACCTGCCTCTCGCGCTCCGTTCTACAGTATTGTTTTGGCGCTCCCTGCAGGGTGGTACCCGGTCGCACTTCCCTAAAACCGCCTCTGCATAACCATGAAAGGTTCTGAAGATGAGGCAGTGTGGTTCAGTGGTTGGAGTGTTGGTTTAGTACCAGGAAGAACCAGGCAGAAGGCCCTGCTCAGCCCTGATGCTCACTGAATGACCGTAGGCCAGTGGTTCTCAAAGGGTGTGGTGCGCCACACTGATGTGCAGGAGAGGAGAGCAAGTGTGGCAGGAAGGTTCAAGGACCAGCCAAGAAACACTTAAACATTTCAGTGTAGTGTAGAGGGGGGAAATTATTTGCAGAATATGGATAGATGTGTTTTCAAAATGAGATCAAGAGCATCAAGGACAATCTTAGCTGCAAAGTCACAACCTTGGGGAAACGCTGGAGAAAATTCACTTATAATTATATTTTGGCAATGATTTGTGTTATTATGTAGCTGCGTTTATACTTTCCGGGTGCCCCATGATCATATTATAAAGTAGTTGTGTTCTATGTTATAAATCAAGCACGACTAAGAACTGTTCTCTTTCGTTTTCCAGTGTATTTCTCATCAATAAGAAATTCTGTGTGGAGCGAGCCTTCCTTCTTCTTCTGAAAACGTGGCCCAGATAAAGAGGTTTGAGAAGCCGCTGCCTTGGGCCAATCGGTCACGTTCTCAGCCTAGCCTACCTTACAGGGTCGTCGTCGTCGGGATTTTCAGCTCTTTGGGGCGAAAGGCGAGATTTAAAAGCTAATAAAATAAGGTTTCTTATCCCACACAGAAACATCCTTCCACTTACAAGGAACAACCCCTTTGACTTCTTCCCGTTTTGAGTCAACCTCCTTTCTTAGCGGGGCTCTCAGAAAATTGAAGATAGAACTTTCTCCCTCCTGTCAATGCCCAAGAAAAGGAG